GGGGGGGAGGGGAAAGCCAGTAGTCCTTCAGAAAGAAACACTGATAAAATTCAGCAATGACAGCCTGTCAAACATTAGGAATTAAGAAAAGAAAAAAACAAAAGCCCAAAGAAATTAATTTTCTTCGAGCTCACTATTGAGATGCTGGCACAAACAGATGTTAGGACAATACTCCAAGTACAAACCCGGGATTTCTCTGGACTTCTAGAAGCAGAAGGGTTATTAAATGGACAACTCAATTTATTGTGAAGGCTGGCAGGAGTAGAGGAAAGGGAGCAAATGGGAACCAGTGCAGCATTTTCTGCTTGCCTTGTTTCCAGAGCACCACCTTAAGGAACTTGCATTAGCAGGCACTATCTTCTTAATGTCTGACCTATCCCTCCAGTCATATAGCTCAGAATCTAGTGCCATGAATTTTTGCTAAATTATGCTATCCTTGCTCTCCTCTTAATTTTACGGTTTTCAACACAGATTTGCTTTCCTGTGGGAAAGAGATAAGAACCTGAGGATTTTAATTTAAGCTTCGGCCTTGTCTTATATTTTGCAAGATGGAGAGAGAAAGCAGCGCCAGTAGGTGTTTTAAAGCCAACAAGCATTAGGTCCATTTTTGTGACCAAATAATAAAAGCAATATGAATTCTCAATAATATATATGAGTTGAGTTGTAAAGGGGATAGCTCGGACTGCTATTCATCTTCCCTGCCTGTATAAATTCAACAAAAAACAGATGCCAACAAATTTCAGACGCTTTACAAATCAGGCCTCAGTCTTCAGCTACGAGACTTGTAGGCCAGCCCACCATTCAGCAATTACTTTATCAACAATAAACTGTGTATTATGAATAAAGATCAAGCAATAGATGTATTTAGGTCACACACATGCAGCTGCTAATCAGCATTAATTTCTCAAAATTTAGTAATTAACATTTTGCATTATACTGGATGTAATTGTCATGCATGCCCCTGGTATCAGGGCTACTTGCTTTCAGAAATCACCTATTTGTGCTTTGAGCAAGCCAAACCCTGTACCCCCTCGCTCTCCAGCATCCTGCAGATTTTATTTTATTTTCTAATTCTTGGCACCTTATCCCCTAAGCCCACGACAGCGGCTTTCAACGGGCAAAGGAACCGTGAGAAGTCAGGAGAAAAGCAAACCGCTTGTCAGCAGGCTTAAAATTAACATATAAACGGGCCGTATCGCCATTAAGAGCATTTGGGGGTCTTGCAGAGCCAGAAAGTGAAAAAAAAAATTTAGTAGTAATAAATAACAACAAGAATAATAAGGTCTCCAGCCTGCCTGCCCCATGCCGCTTTGGGAGGACCTAGGGAGATCTGGCCACTTAAATCTTACTGGGCACCCTTACGTGCCACCAGATGGGGGCTTGGTGGGCACAGGCTGAGCCTCCCCATTCCTTGTGGCCCCACCAAGATGACCACAGTGACTGACAGGGTGAGAAAACACAGGGCGACACGTGAAAAACGAAGCCAGGATGAGAAAAGCCTGATGACTTATTTCCCAAAAGCCCTATGGACTAAATTGGTTCTGCTATGGCACCTGCCCTACAAGTCAACCCAGAGGGGTATCTGGGCCCTCCTCCCAGAGAGGGTTCAGGGCAGGAGACCAAGATCATAGAATCATTTGGTTGGAAAAGACCTTTAAGATCAAGTCCAACCGTACCTGCCCATTACTAAACCATGTCCCTAAGCACCTCATCCACCGTCTTTTAAATACCTCCAGGGATAGGGACTTGACCACTTCCCTGG